ACTACTTAAACTTTACATTTCAGTATTGCGATTAGCTAAATAATTTAGTTATGATAACATCTAAACATTCGAAATTAGTGACAGTAATTTTGATTTGACTTTTTGTGAATTTCCTAGCAAATTTATCATTTCAAATTTAAATCTTCTTTGTGGGACCGATATTTGGGGCTTAAATAGAAAGTCCATTATTACTTGATAACGATACACATACTTGCATAGAATCCCAACATTAATTGCTTAAATTTCTAAATCATAAAATATTGCATCAAGTTTTGGCGCCGTTGTATATCAGAGTCAACTATAAAATTTTTACACAACTATATCAAATTTGAGATCAATTCACCACCAACCTATAACACCATCATCTGACAACCCCTACTAAATGATTTCAAGGCTATCACATCTACATAACACAACAGTAGAGTTTTCGGGCAATGAAGAAGTCATCATTATTTGGAGTAACTTGGAGCATGAGCCACTTAATCTCCAGAACATGCATGAAGGGGTGTTGAGACGAGGGAGGGTACTCTTAAAATTCTTGTGGATAACGAAGGGTCTGGTAAATTTTTTATAATGAGTGAAGCTTTTGATACAGGATTGAAAGATGTCTTGATCCAGACCCTCTGAAGTATAAAGTTGTTTTTGCCTGTTCAGACACATAAATACCAGGGATATCAGTTGAAATTGCTTGTTACTGATTGAATGTCAGCATTTCTTCTTGGTTAATGAAGTATAACACGAGGTTTTAAATTGTTACCCGGGTCGAACCAAGACGTGGCTACTAGAAGCAAGGTACATACGAGAGGTGCAATATCCACTATGAGTGACAATCATGATGCTGAATTAGAAAGCAAACAAGTAGAGGACACACATTAAATTCAAAAATTTGAATCATTTGTATAGGATCGATGCCCTAGTGGACCCAGCAATCGACCATCTAGTAATGAGCTTCTTATTTTCCATCTCCAAGTAAAAAATTGTTTGGCCTCCTTTAATGAATGCAGACGCTGGATAGAGAGGCTGAGATTTCGTGGGGGAGATACGATAAAGGGAGCCCTAGAGGAAATTTTGTCTTTGGCTTGTTTACTGCGATGATAAGGGGAAGTTAGTGATGGATCCTGAGGTTATTGCTACTCTACAGCTTGTCAAGGAACCTAGCAAGGGGACTGTGTTCAGTTTAATAGGTAGAAGATTCAAGGGTTCTACCAATCCTTGCTAAGTATGAAGGGTAGGGCAGAGAGGAGATCGCGATAGGGAGAAGCAACGATCGCTTGAAGGGAAGAGGAGGCGGGGGGAATCGTGCTGCTAAGGAAGATAAACTTGATCATGGAAGGGATGAATGAAATTTTGCGTGAACAAGAGGAGCAGTGATGATACCATGTGCAGCTTAGGTGAAGGAGAAGGAACATATCACACAAGGGGCAAACAATCTACTGTGGTACTTTACTGCAGGAAATGTGTGATTCTTGTGACAGAGAAGATGATCATGCAAGCATTAATGAGGTATTTTTGCGATGTTTAAACTGATTTTTGAGTTAATTAGATATTTCTGCGATTGAAACGTTATCCTAGATCATTTTTTAATTACTAAAAAGATCATGACTCATGAGGTAGGCAACATGCATTATACTTCTTATTTCAATAGCTCATCTCAACCTAAGGACACTTTTATAAAACTGTAATGATGACATGCTCTTGAAATTACTGCCCTACATATAGATGGTGGTGGAAGAAATAGAAGTCTCTATAGATGATGGTTTTGTAATATATTTTTAAACTTCTGGAGTTGAATTTTAGTTTTGTTTCTTGTAACTTGTAACAACCACATTTGACTTATAAGCTTTACTATATCCTCTTTAGTTTAGATCCCTCTCTTGTTTTCCATGGCTAGCTTCATCCCAACTTGATCTTATTAGAACAAACTAAAGCCTTTAAACCAGCTATTTTCCAAACACACAAATTAAACAACTAGGCAGCTTATTCAAATCAGCTGTTGAATGATCATTTATCCAGAAACAACAACAAATTAGTTGTTTTTCAAATGCACAAACCAAACAACCAATCAGTTTATCCGAATCAGCTACATATTAGCAGTTTGTCAGGATAAGTTGTTTATCTGGATAAGCTGGATAAGTTGCAGCTACCCCAAGCAGTCCCTTCATTGTCACACTGCGACTTGCAGACAAGATGCACGTCCGATACTTCTTGGTGAAATCTAACTCACAGCTAATAGTAAACCAAATTAATATAATCGAGTAAAGTCAAGTAGATTTGTCGCACCATCCTTATTCTTAATCATATATAACTTATAATGATTGCATTACAATTTCTCAACACCATTTTTTAATCAAGTAAGACAAAAAGAGAGTGGAAATGTGAGACATACGAGATACTAGAGTTTTCGAGATCCTTTCACAATACAATTTATTCACTGCCTTTGATGCTTTCATGCAATAACAATTCAGGGTTTCGTATGTTTCGGACGAAATCAGGAAATGTGAAAATATGGGTTGCCAGAGGGGAAGTAAGATTTGTGGGGGTTTAAAGTTTATTTTAAGAGGCATTTCATAAATACCGCATGAAATCATATAGATTTTTACATCTAACACATAAAAGTTAATAAAATAAATAT